AATTGGCCTCTACTGATGTATAACCACCCAAAAGGCAGTTAATACGAACCAAGTGGAGTCACAAATCATTCACTTAGGTCAGGGCATATGAATATGTGAAACAGCAACTAGACAAAATGCCACAACAGCACAACTAACTAAGCAACAAAAAAATCTAGAGCACAGTCATTTACCAAAAGGTTAAGTAGCTTAATTTCATTCTTTGCTCCCAAATGAGAAGTTAGTAGTTACTCATTAAGGATTAAATTCACAGGTCACTGCATTAGAATTTTAACCTCTTGCTTACAATTAAAAACAACAATACAAGGTGATTAACACAGCTCTGGGCCAGGAATCTGGTTAGAAAAATCCAGGCTTGTCAGTTTCATCTCCCTGATCTCGGCTAAGACCACACCCATGACAAAAATACGCAAATCTCATCAGTAATTCTTCAGATACCAAGGTTGATAAACCACAGTGTTGCATCAGTTTCATGATAAGCTGGCGTTTCTTTAGACCTTTTTCATGTAACATGAAACAAAGTTCATGGCAATCTAAGAAAAGCTTGTATTAAGAGACAAAAGCCTGAAGCTTACACAATTTTAAGATCTGCTCCAATCCTCAAAAGCTCCTCATCCGAGTGTGAGAGATCCTCAACACACCGTCATCAGTCTGAGCTGCTGGCGGTGGGGTCTGGCCCTCGTTAGGCAAAGAGCAGCTCTAATTAAATTGAACGCTGCTCAATGTCACAGCGACCCTCAACGGAGCCTTGCTCAACACCGACCGCAAACCGGTTCGCGTTTTCCAAGACTCTAAAAAGCTAGACCTGGGGGAAAGAGTTACACTACACCAGAGAAGGCTTAAATACGTTCATGCCTGCTGAAAAAAAAAACCCTTTGACAAAGAAACCTACAGTAGATTTATCCGATCACAGACCTATTTTTATTAATTTGGCTGGTGCTTTTATCTCAACCGACTTATCTGACCGACCCAGTCAGCACGAGGTCAGTGGCTCAAGGGCACAGCAGTGATGCTCCCTACACCCACAAACGGAACCGGCAACTGTCCAGTCCAGGGCCCCTAACCACTCCTCCGCAGGCTGGGCCTTGCAGATGTACAGACACCTGCACTGGCATCAGCTCGCACTGTCTACAGTGTTTCTGCGAGACAGGAGCTTGGGTGCTGGGGACCAGGAGCAAACAGAACCAGACTGCAGCCAGTAAGAACCAGGACCCACTTTTAAAGCAGTACATGCCTGTTCCACACCCTTTCCCATTTTTCTTTACTTTTACAAACTTAGCAAGACGAATGTCAAACAACGTTATGCCACCAAACAGCCAACAGGTCTCAAGACCGTCAGCTGCATTTCACAAGACAATCCAATGCAGTTTCCTCTGATTCAGTATTCAATAAAAAAAAAAGACACGGAATCAAGTTACAGGACACAGTTAATAAATGTACTGGCTAAATCAATATCCACAGTGGTTCAGCTCACATTTTATTTAAAAAATGCCTATAGCCATTTTCCAGTTTTAATGTACTCGGAGGAAATGACAGGTATTTTCATCCCACTTCATTTGTGGAGTAAGTTTTTACTCAATCGCATGCTTCACTCATCACATGCCAGGTATCTGCTTTCCCATCTGCTTTTCTGCAGGCCAATAAGGGCCTTCTTATTCTCCAGCTGAATCAAATCCCTGTCAACAGCAGTCCACTGGATCACTGGGACCTGCTGAAACTCAATGGCAGCTCCTGACGCCATGAGGTGAAACCGGAAGAGGGCATCTTCATTTTTTACCTCCGCAAAGAGGGGGAATCACGAAAGCCAGGTTTGCAATGCCCAACAACCCCCTGATCGTCTTCTGCAGCTCAGGGGAGAGGGTGCCAACACTGACCTGCGGGTAAGAAAAGTATGCAGTGGGGGAGGCGGGCCATTATAACAACCCCTTATATGACAGAAGCGGAGAATGTGGCCAGTTCTAAAGAGCAGCCTTTGTACAGTCGGGTTACATGGTGCAAAACTGCTCATCTGCTGCACGTGTCCTGTAAATTGGCAGAGAGACAGCAAAAGCTGAAGGATTGTGGGTTACTTGCTTTAGTTTCTGATTACGAATATGTGGTTATGGGTGGCACGGTGACGCAGTTGTAAATCAATCATTTCCTGACCACGTCTTTCAATTCAGAGTCACGGAGGACTATCCTGGCCAGCAACAGGCGCAAGGCAGGATACACCCTGGAAGGGACGCTCGTCGATCGCAGGGCACACACAGACACACACTCACGCCTAGGGTTAATTCCCCAGTATGTTTTTTGGACTATGAAAGGAAAGGCATACAAAGACAGAGAGAACATAGAAACTCCACGCAGATAGCGCACCAGGTCTGGAATTGAAACCTGGGCCCTAGCACTGCAAGGCAGCAATGCTCACCACTGTACCAATGTGCCGGCCCCCCCAATAGAAATGTCCTTTTGCAAAAAAAAAAATACTTCCAATATCTATTAGATTACAAACATTTCCAGGTAATTATATCTGGTCACTTTCTCCCTTAACGAAATTGTACCAAACAATTCTTCTCACACAATCTTGGATCATCACTCCAAGAAATAAAGACTTGTGTCACTTTGGAGCTTGTGCAGTTTTGTTAGGGACCTCTCCTTCAGAGATACAGATATGATTTCTCATACGATTGATAAAGGTACAAGGATTGGAGAATGTTGGACGCCCAGGCTTGATGAAACATTGAAATTCTTCAGTTCCTGACCCCTACAAGGCATTAAAGGCACAGACAGGTGGTGATTACCTGCAGGAAGTGAGGAATGACATGGGAATGCAATACCAGAAACCATTTCCTGCTGTCACAACGAACAGCCACAGGAAAAGGTGAACACCTACTTGAACTATACCTAATCTGACTGAAAACCGGTCGCGAAACAGCAGCGGCTCCAGGTGAAATTAATTTGAAAAGTGCAGCTATTTCTCTCACCAGATTCCAGAGATACCTCTGTCATACCTGTCATCTCATTGTCGTTCGCTAACCTGTGAGGCTGCCTAGCGTGAATCAGTTTGATAAACTTCGAACCACAAATAACAAAGCACTGTGTAACATTCACTTCTATGAAATTAGTTGTTAAAATATTGATCACTATTACCAGGACCCAGTAATATCAGTATCTTTGTCACAGACTTATTAAAAGAACAACAAGACACATTAAAGATGTTCAACTTAAAGCTAGGTGTTTGGATTTTAGGGATAAAAGATGGCACAGAACCACGCCCAGGATCAGGTACAAATTTAGGACTAGTACAGCCGAACTAAGAGAAACGTGATCAATCTCCTAGCCTGAGGAACAGAGAGTGACCCTGTCTTACCATAATGTTTTAAGTGTTGTATGAAAATGTCCACTAAGTTTGTCCTGTAAATTTCCATAAGTGCTCAGTTAATTGCATCTGCTTTGGCAACCCTGTAATTAATCGGTCATGCCAATAAAGCTCTTTGAATGGGAATCTGAAAAGCATGGATGGTTCTATTTTTAAAGATATAATAGTAAGGGGTCTACAAGCACAAAATGAAATGGAAGGAAACTGCTTGGGCCCAAAGAAAGGAACAGATGGTTACCAAAGTCTGGCTGTCCTTCTTTGGAGAAAACAGTTTGCTTGGCTTGGGTCCGGAGAAGCACTGAATGCAAGCGCTACAATGAATCGCCATAAATAAGGACGACTGAGGCTCAGTTTTTAAGAAGAAAGGATGCAAAAAATCGAGGCGGTAGTGCAAAAACAAGAGTCACAGTTTGCCGGGCCACATCTAGATAATATTTCAGTCTTGTCTCACAGAAAAAAAGAAACAATTTAGGCTTAAATGATAAACCTAACCAATGAATTAAGAGAATCAACAGATTTTCAATTATACCTTGATCAGAATTATATTTGATCAAGATCATAGATTTAGCTGAGCGATAGTACAAGCATTGTTAAATCGATTTTTGCTTTAACAATAAATAAATTAAATGCCGGCCGTGTGTTTAAGCTCTGTATTTAGAGACTGCATTTAACACTGAGCGTTTATTCCGAACAAAGCGCCTTTACAAACGTTTTCCAGCGCTTATTCAGGCAATAAACCAGCTGGAGGATAAATATTGATTCTTCTGGTAGGCATATAACACCTTCGGTTAAGGCACTATTTTTTGCAGACGGAAATTGTCCCAGAAGTGCGCTATATACCCCTGTGCACTCATCTCACCCCCCATCTTTATCGATTTCAGGGGAAGCCTATCTGCTCCTGACCGTCCTGTTGCGAAAGAGTTAATTTTATATGTATTTTTTTTTCTCTCTTACACACAGAGACATCCATCCATATACCGGATCGGTGAGGTGTGTGAGCAGGCTGGGTTTAATGGTGTGCCTTTCCTAGACCCGTCATTGTGGGGCTTGTCACTACTTCTCCCCCGCCGCTACCGGGTGCGCCCCCAGCCGCATCTCGACAAGCCCGGACCCGAGCGACAGGTCTGTACCTCTGCTTTAATTTCTCCGCGGCACTTCGCTCCAGCGGGGGCTGCGAGTCCTCTCCCTCTCGCCGGAATCGCCAAAGATGATATTTCTGCTGTATCAGAGACAATATGGCCGGACCACACTCTCGCAGCCACAGGAAGCACGGCGAGGCAGCCAGGAAGCGGAAATGGAAGAACGAGTGCGGAGGAAAAAACGCATCGACTCAACACCATCGAGTCTGAGAGCAGTGAGCGGCCGTACTAGAGCGCCCAGTGCGCACTGGAGATGAAACAGCTTCCAGCCCAGAAAACACTTGTAAACATTCAATAATACATAAATCATCGACTTCTTTCGTGTCGAATGCTGCACTGCAGCTACTAGGAGCTCTTGGCCCTTAGCCCTTAGCCAAACATCAGGCGATGGATATTTAAAAGTTGGTGACTTGTTGCAAGTTTGGGATAGACCAGTGGTTCTTAATCGTGTTTCGGGTGAACCTCCTGTGCCCTCTTCGTTTTTGTTCCAGATGCGTTTTTAAATCTGAAGTTAATTGATTTCAGTTTTCGATTTTGATCACATTTTAAAATTTTGCTTTCAGCTTTTCTCCACACTAACTGTGGGAGCGTCTAATACAGTGTCACTCCAATGAGGGAGGGTTCGTCATCAATCCAGTTTCTAACCGCTTTATCCAATACAGAGTTGAATCTGTTTAGTCAGAAATAACGGCAAACACATTCAAGAGAGGCTGCGTAAAGTCCTGTATGCTGAAGCTCTTGGGAACAGAAGAAACACACCTAAACAAGCCAGGCCCCTGTTTTTTTGTTCTAAACCTGATCATAATTAAATACCTCATTATTTGGCTGACAAATTAAACTGTATTTTTTCAGAAATCACTTTGTCTTAATAAGTAGCCAGTTGAAATGTATTTCTACCATCAAAAGGACGCTGGCCCCAAGGGTTCTCAGTATATGTAGAACAGAGTTCTACTTCAAATTTACACAAGCAAGTGATGTAGAGTACTAGAATATCTTTATTGTTAGAAATTAAAACAACTGTTAGTCTGTCATGAAAATGATATCTTCTGTATGAAAGTTTCAAGAAAAGACCATGCTGACTTTTTAAATGATACACTCCATTCATTGATGATGGCAGAAGTAACAACAGCTCCTTGCATTTATGTAGGCTTTTCAACTGAAGGCATTTTTTTTTATCTAGGAGGAAACCCGCTTCCTTCACTACTGTGTAGCGCAGCCATTAAGCACCAGCAGTCTTGCAATACAGCTGATCAGCTAAAGATCAATCATCATTTGAATGAAGGAGGAACTTAAGGGACCTTACGAATTTAAGGCTGTGCAAGCTGAGTATGGAATTTAACCAGGACATCAGGGTTATCACCCCTTCTCATAAGAATAGTGCCAGAGTGTCGCTAATGGACTATTAATGTCTCATCCAAAGGACAGCACTTCCTGCCAGCCCTGGTATATTGGTTTGGTCCACACATATCACATACAACAGTATCCTGGATGTCCTTAGAAATCTCCCATCCCAATACTAACTAGGCTCAGCCTTGCTCAGCATTTGAGATCTGATGAGACCAGATGGGATCTGGAGAACTGTAACACTGCATTCACTGTAACAGTCAATGCAATGCCCCGAGACAATCTAATGCTAAAAAGTGCGATGTTCCTGTTTCTCGGGCTGCAGAAAAAAAACTTTTTTTTTTGTTTAAAAACATCCCACATTCTTTTCTCCTAGCTTACCAGCCACAGGTTTATAAGGGTGCGGCGCTGTTTCCTGTAACAGCCTCTTGTGCTATAACAAATCCTGGACACATTGAAGCCATTTGGTTGAAATGTTATATCTCATTCATGAGTGTATTGGAGATCAGTTTTGTGGTTCATTGCTCCATACATGCAGGAGATGGCGCCGTTGCGCATGAATACTGATTTATGTGTATCACTCCAGCAGCAAGATACTTTTCCCCAAGCATTTGTTTTCTACAGGTAAAAGCTACCATGCTCCTGTTGTATTTTACAGGAGAAGTTTTGAGAATTCCATAGGGGTTATTGTTGTTTCCATATTCGATTATAGTGTCTCATATTATTAGTCTGGTCAAGCTGTGTGGCCACACTGTGAGCATCACCAAATAGCCCTCACACTTTCTTAAAAAATGTCTCATCCTCTGTATATGATCCAGACTGAAAACCCACAATAGGTCAATGAGTCCTCCACTGGTGATGCATTCAAATCAATTTTTGACTAGATGTGAACAAACAATCCCAAATGCTTGGGCTTAAAATATTATTGCCCAGTGGTCCCCAGACCTGTTCTCATTCCACTCCTTCTGGCCTTCAGTTTATCATTATACAAGAGCTAAACTATCATGAGGATCTAGAAGATGTTAAGGGTCTTGATTTGTAACTGGAAGGTTGTGGTTTTAAAACTGCCATTGTGCAAGATACTGTATTCAGATTGCTTCAGTAAAATTCCCAGCTTGTGTACACCCAAATAATGGGTGTATTTTGTTTTGACAAAAGCATCAACCCTATAAATCATTATTCATAGTGATAGACTAATTAATGCAGTTTTACCCATAAATAGTTTGATTAAACCATTGAAAGAAGGAACAAAATGATAAGAAGCCTTTAAGTTTCCTGGACTAGTGTAGGAGATCCCTGAACTGTGCCGTGTGTCTAGAAAGAGATTAATCATTTTGCCAGACACAAAAAAGAAGGAAGCCATTTCAAGAGATCCGGAACTAATCACCCCAGCCTATGTTTCAGAGGGATTTTAATTCCCTGCGTACCTCAAGGTGGAAACCATTGATCTTTTTTATGACAAGGCACCTGTGATACTTCCCCTCTGGTTTTAAGTAAATGTTTAGGCACTAAAACTGTCTCATACATCTTGTTAAACATCATTTTGCAAGAGAAACAACTCTGTACCCTAGAAAACCTAAACACCTGTTTCTTATCATGGTTCTGCCTTTATGGATAACTAGGTCATTCCACAGTTCTGTAATTCATACACTCCTCTTGTCTGCAGACAAAAATGAAATCAAGGCTGCATAAAATCAAAGAGTTGAGCAATCGGAGAATTCATTTGATAAATAGTTCAGTAAAAACAAAAATGAAACAGAAAATATCTCAAATTAATATTATATAAGGCAAATATTGTATTTAAGATATCTGTGTTTTTTATTTCTTCTGATTTGAACTCATAAGTGAACTGATCCATCCATCAGTCTATTATCCACAGCTGCTTCATCTAATGGAGTGGTGCAGCATAGGTAAACAAATCATTTGCTAATAAGAGCTTTTTAATTGATTTCAGCTCTTCAACAACAGGAGATTTCATTTTACCAATGCAGTATGGATGCCCTTTCCTTAGGTTGTATTTATATCTGAGATGAAAGGAGCAGACCACTGTATCTGCTTTAGATTTCAATTAAGCTTAATCATCTTGCAAAAACGTGTTTATGTTTAATGTGCGTTTGCCGATCCCATTCTGGGGTGATCCACACATTATATCCGGGTGGTTGGGAATGAGATTAATCAGGAGTATGATTGGATTGCTTACATTGTATTTTTTCACCATGACTAGACTTATGAAGTACAGTATATTTGTGGTATTTTGATTTGGGTAATTGAATGTACCCGAGCTTTACTTACAATGCATACAAATACCAATACATATCACATTTCAAGGAAACTGTACAACAGTTAAACGTGTCATTATATAAATATTAGAAGGATTTAATCATTTAAATAGATCCATGGTCTTATGGGGCAGTGACCAGTAGTGTGAGCTTTAAGTTATGTGCAGAAACAGTTTAATAACTGCAGACAATGATGGGGCTTCTTTCTCTTATAGACAGTCAACACACCATCCAGGAGCTCGAGTCGGGGTGCAGAACTGATGAGGCTGCAGTTTCTCGTGGGTCTTCCTGTTGTTTTTCAGCAAATGGACCGAGCCATTGTCTCTACTGTACTGTCTCCTCCTGTCTCCCCTGTGGACGGATGGGTTTATTAATAGGAGGGTGAGGACATGGAAAGGGAAAGAGGCCTTTGGCCTGACCAGCTGGGCTGCACAATGCTTCCATAACCAGCAGCAAACAAGTTAGGGAGCCCCGGGGCCAAGGGAGAAGGAAGAGCAGACACAAAGCAAGTAGGATACCGCACTTGTGCATTATGCTGATCAGGGCAGCCCTCGAAGTGGATGGCTGTCATTCATGGTTCCTGTTAATTTACGTTTAGTAATGCAAAGGTGTCAAAAGAAAACTGGACTAATTCAAGTGCATCAACGCATTAATTTCCCAACTTTCATCTCGTCTACCCTTTCAGTGTCCTCCTATAACCTTTTTGGGTTCTTGTTCAATGCTTAAATGGCTGCATTTCTCGTACTACAGTTGCTGTTGCTGGTTTACTTTTGAACGGTTTTCTGTAGCTCCCAATGTGGGGCTTAGCAATACAATTGCCACAAGTCGAATTCAGATGAGACGCTTATTACTGGAGCCTCTCTGTGTGTTTATGGAGAAGAAATCAATCGGAAGTCTGAGAATGAATCAAATGAGAATGATTTCTGTTTGTCCACTTGGGGTGCATAGGAATTTTCTGGAACTCGTCTTTAAGTCATCTTTGCAGTGGATCTATAACACAGTGTGAGATATTCTCTGTACATTTCCGGCACAGTGCTAAGGAGGAGCTTGCATGGTTTTTACCAGGGCTGTGCTTGAACGTGTTGCACCATAGCTCCCTTATTAGCACCAAATTCACAAGCACCAGGGGACTCCACAGCCCGAGCAGAAGGTGCTGGAATCTCACACTTCTGGGGTTGACCGCCATCTGCGCGAACTACAGAGAGCTTAAGCCCCCTTAAAAATGACCTCATGTTGAGTTTGAGTCCTCAGCAGAGGAGCCCGCTCTGCTGCACTGCACTGTACTGGAGATCCCAAAGGTTGTTAGCGTGCCCAGATGTTTTTGTCCTGCGCGGACTTCATGTTTCTGTCAGCGAGGTTGTTCATTGTGCACTCTGGGCCCTTGATTGAGGATATCCTCCCAGCGATTGCTCCTGGTGTTGAAATGCAATGCCAGCAGTGCCGAGCCCTGCAGCTGGGAGATTTTCCCATGTGAAAATCAGTGCGCAGCTGCAGTGAAAGTGAAGTCTTATCGGCCCCATCAGGGATGAGTGCCATCG